CTAAACCCCATTCTGGTAAGAAATCTTGGAAAAATAAGAGGAAAAAAACTCATAGTGCTTCTCATAGATATCCTGATAAGAAACCTGGTAATGGTCAACACCATAATATAGGAGGTCCCAAGCCTCTTGCTTTTAAGAAATCGTTTTGGTGCTTTTAGTGTAAGGAAAAGGAACATAAGAAAATCGATTGTCATGATTTTAAAGCTTGGTTAGACAACAAGAACAAACCTGAAGGTAATCTTTTAGCTTTCGTCTGTTTTGAGTCTAACTTAGTTGATGTTCTCATTAATTCTTGGTGGTTTGATAGTGGTTCTACAACCCATATTGTTATGTTCTTACAGGGGTTCAGAAACCAGCGGAGGCCAAACTTGAGGGAAAGCAAACTCAGGGTAGGAAATGATCTTGAAGTCATTGTAGAGCTAGTGGGAGATGTTAGCTTAATTTTAGGAACTGGTTTTGAACCTGTTTTGAAAGCTACATTTTATGTACCTTCCTTTAGAAGGAATTTTATTTAAGTATCTTGTTTGGATAAGTTTGGATTTAAATTTACCTTTTTATGATGGAAAAATGAATTTGATGTTGATATCTCAAGTTGTTGGTAATGGCATCTTGTTGGGTGGTTTATATAAGTTATCTTTGGATTGTGATATGATTTCTTCATCCTTGAATGTTGAAAGCTCCATTGCTAAAAGGCCTAAAACTAGAGAAAAATCTTTTTTGTTGTGGCACAAGCGTTTAGGACATGTCTCTAAAGAAAGAGTTGAAAGCTTAATTTGAGATGATATTTTTCCTTCCTTAGATTTAAATGATTTAGGGACTTGTGTGGATTGCATTAGAGAAAAATTTACTAAGGCCAATAAGAAAGGTCCAACAAGAAGTTCAGACCTTTTGGAAATTATTCATACAGACATTAGCAGACCCCTTTCTCCCACTATTTGTGGTAATAAATATTTTATCACTTTCATTGATGACTTTTCCCGGTATGTTTATCTCTACTTGATTAAGGAAAAATCAGAAGCACTTGAAAAGTTTAAAATCTTTAAAACTGAGGTTGAAAAGCAACTAGGAAAAGTGATAAAGGTGGTACGTTCTGACCGTGGTGAAGAGTATTATGGTAGATGTCATTCTATTGGGCAACACATGAGGCCTTTTGCAAAATACTTGTAAGATTTTGGAATTATTCCACAATACACCATGCCTGGTACTCCTGAACAAAATGGTGGAGCCGAAAGGAGAAACCGCACCCTTAAGGATATTATGAGAAGCATGATGAGTAGGAGTAATTTACTAGAATTTTTATGGGGTGACGCTTTGAAAATAACCCTCTATATACTTAATAGAGTTCCTAGTAAATCAGTTTCAAAAACACCTTTTGAGCTTTGGACAGGTAGAAAACCCAGTTTGAACCATCTTCGTGTCTTGGGTTGTCATGCAGAGGTTAAAATATATAATCCTTTTGAGACAAAGTTTGACCCCATAAAAAAGTCATTATTTTTTTATTGGATATTCGGATCGATCTAAAGGATACAAATTATTTTGTCATGGTAGAGGTAATAAAATTGTGGAGTCCATGCATGCAAAATTCCTTGAACTTGATGTTGCTGAGCTTGTCACTGCATCTAATAATATGAATTTTATTATGCCTGATGTTGTTACTTTGTCACTGCCTAATTTTGATAATGCTAGATCATCCACTGCTTACGGAGGTTTTGCTCCAAATGACAATGTGGTTGAACATCCAGTTGAAGATGTGGTTGAATCACTTGTTGAAAATGTAGCGTATCCTCCTGTTATAACTGAGGTTGCACAACCTGATGAGCCAGTTGAGCAAATTCATGTTAGAAGGTCAGTAAGAGAAAAGTGACTTGCTATCTCTGATGACTTTGTAGTTTATCTTAGTGAGGATGCTTATGATGTTGGTATTGTTATTGATCCTAAAAACTATCTAGAAGTTATTAATTGTTCTTAATCTAGCATGTGGACAGATGTAATGCATGATGAAATAAAATTCATGGTAAATGATGATGTTTGGGAACTAGTGGTGTTACCAAGAAACTGTAGGGCGATTGGATGCAAGTGGATATTCAAAACAAAGAAGGACTCGAAAGGTAAAATTGAAAGGTATAAGGCGAGACTTGTGGCTAAAGGTTTCACACAAAAGGAGGGGATTGACTTTAACGAAACTTTTTCTCCTGTTTCCACTAAAGACTCTTTTAGAATCGTTATGGCACTTATAGAACATTTTGACTTGGAATTGCATCGGATGGATGTTAAGACTACTTTTCTAAATGGTGATCTTAATGAGGAGGTGTACATGCAGCAGCCTGAGGGTTTTGTGAAAAGTGGTGACGAGCACTTGGTTTGTAAATTAAGAAAATCAATTTATGGTTTGAAACAGGCTTCTAGACAATGGTACTGGAAATCTGATGAGGTGGTAACTTCATTGGGTTTTGAAAAAAATAAATTTGATCAGTGCATCTATCTTAAGGTCAGTGGGAGCAAATTCATCTTTCTCGTGTTGTATGTTGATGATATTTTGCTTGCCAGTAGTGATCTTGGTCTACTTCATGAGACCAAACTTATGCTAACCAAGTTCTTTGATATGAAGGATCTTGGTGAAGCATCCTTTGTGTTGGGAATTGAAATATACAGAGATAGATCACGTGGTGTGCTTGGTTTGTCACAGAGGGCTTATATTGATAGAGTTTTGGAGAGGTTTAATATGCAAGACTGTAAGTCATGAGATGTTCCAATTATTAAATAATACAAATTCAGTAAAAATCAATATCCTAAAAATGAGAGTGAGCGGGCAGAAATGAAGGGAAAACCCTTTGACAATGCATTGGGCAGCCTGATGTATGCTCAAGTATGCACTAGGTCTGATATTGCTTTCATAGTTGGCATCTTGGGACGATATCAGTCTAATCATGGGAATGATCATTGGATTGCTGCGAAGAAAGTGATGAGATATTTGCAGAGAACTAAAGAGTATGTGCTTGTTTTTAGGAGAGTTTACAACTTAGAAATAGTTGGGTATACTGACTCTGATCTTGCTGGGTGTGTTGATGATAGGAAATCTACTTCTGATTACATTTTTATGTTGGCTGGAGGTGCGATATCATGGAAGAGTAAAAAGCAAACTCTTGTCGCCTCTTCTACTATGCAGGCAGAGTTTGTTGCTTGTTATGCTGCTGTCACTCATGCTGTTTGGTTAAAAAATTTAGTGACTGAACTTCGTATTGTTGATTCCATTGCAAAGCCACTAAAGCTTTACTGTGATAATAGTGCAGCTGTGTTATACTCCAAGAATAATAAAACTTCTAGCGGTTCTAAGCATCTGTAATTGAAGTATTTGACAGTCAGAGATCTTGTAAAAAAAAATGACATCGTTGTTGAGTATATTGGTACTGATTTCATGCTAGTTGGTCCCCTAACTAAGGGACTTAGACCCATTGTGTCCAAAAACCATGTTGAGAGCATGGGCATTGTGAGTTTTTTTGATGTACTTGGTTAGTGGGAGTTTGTTCTTTATGTCATTTTCTTATCATGTTATATTTTATTTTGGACAATTTAAGTGTTGGATTGTCAAGTACTTTCTATTTTAAGCAATTGATATTACAATGATTATTATTATTATTATTATTATTATTATTATTATTATTATTATTATTATTATTATTATTATTATTATTATTTGTCATTTTTTATTTATATGTCAATTGTTAAAATTGGGACTCAGTGTCATCGGGACCACTGTGCCTATGGTTGACACTAATTTGGAGTTCGAGGCATGGTTATAATTTTGAGCTCGGTGTCTTCGGGACCACTATACCGGTGGTCAATGCCACATTGGAGCTGGGGTATGATTTTAAGCTCGGCGTTGTCAGGACCACTATGTCGGTGGTCGACGCCATATTAGAGCTAAGGCATTATGGTTTGTAAAACCATACAATTTCTTTGGCTGTACTGCATTTGAGAGAAATTGTTAAGGACTGATAAAGAAAATAGCAGTTGGTTGTTGGATCACATTAGCATGTTATTTTCTTGTCACACTCCACATTGATAACTAGTTGATGGAGTACGTAGTATTTGTAACCACAAAAGGTTTTATGTCAATGAAGAATATAATAATCGTCGTGATTCAATATTGTTTTACTTTTGTTGGATGGAGTCATATTCAGATACTGCAACTGGAATCCTGCATTTCCTTACTATGCGCCCGCATTTTAAGGAATTAGTCATTAACCTGAGAGTCGTTTTCAAAATATATTTTAAAATAAAAATCATACAATTGATTTTGCCCAAGTGGGAGAATGTTAGATTTATCTAACTTTTTATGGGATACAATCAATTGTTCTTTAGTTTGTGAAAAACGGGTTAATCGTGATTTTGATGGGGTGCATATATAAGTCTGATTATTAGTTAAGTGATCTCTTTTATAACTAAAGACTGAATATCTAAAACTTGATTGGTGTGGGTAAAAGTGTGAGCTTTAACCTTGAGCCTGTAATGGGCAGGGATTAAGGTTATATATATATATATATATTATATTGTTAGATTCCCTCTGTAATCCCACTAAGAATCAGAAATATAACTGGCGACTCCACAACTCCCATTGAGAGTTGTGAACAGGAGTGTGAGATACAGAGAAAGATCTAGTCATTCATCCTTTCGAGATTTCGAATCATAATTTTAACAAGTATTGATATTCTAATTTTATATAAATTAAATTGATAAATAAATTTTTCCACTTACCTACTAAATTTAATTTTAAAATATAAAAATAAAGTTATAAAAAAATCAAAGTTTGTACAATAGTAGATCTCAAAAAAATCAAAGTTTGTACAATAGTAGATCTCACAATCACAAATTATGATGTAGTGTGCACTAATCAATCGATCAATAATTCATTAATCAATCATCTAAATTTATATTTCTGTTACACACTCACTTTTCACATGATATCCCATGTTGTGATACAATTTCTTTCTTTCCATGTTTTACTTTACTTTTATTTGATAACAAGTAACCATCAAACTCAATAAAATGAAAAAATTGAAGGGAAAATTTGATTTGGCAATTGATACATGAAGTAGTTGTTTCATATTAACAGGAGATGTGTATTGTGAAGGCCCATTATAAAGTCTATCCACAATTATGCGAGTAGTTGCTTCAGTAGGATGAACTGAATCCCAAAATATATGATCTTGTCTATTGCTACAAATGTTTGCACTTGGTAGACATGGAAGCTCAGCATTCAGTTCACCAATTCCACAACATGCAGTTTTCACATCTACAAATCCTGAAAAAAAAAACTCTATTATTAGGTTTAAGAGCTACTAATATATTTTTAGTTTAACGAGCGAACACTGAAGTAGAGACATCTCTGAACAGAAGTGTGTTTAGTGTCTGACACGTGTCAGTGTCCAATACCAATCAGATATACCAACCAGATACAGACACACCTGATTACTGTTAATTAGTTTATTTTTTTAAATTATTATTGGTGTTAACGTGTCAGTGTATCTAATGTTTGTATCTGTGTCGGTATATGTGTTTCATAAAAACGGGGCTCTAGTAACCTGGAGTTTGATCGAGATGTAAGTAAAGTTTTGTCGATAATATAAAAAGACTGAGGAGAATATGATAATACCATGAGAAGTTGGATTCTGAATGAGGTCTTGGATGGCGGTATAAGTATCAAAGTATGAATAACTTAAGTTCTTGTTCTCTGATTGCCATTTTTTCAACATAGATTGAAGCTCTTCATTATATTTAACAGACAATAAATTGGCTTCTGAGAAGCATTCGGTTTTGTTCTTGAGCCGTAACGCAGGACAGCATCCAATTGCAGCAACGCCAGCAATCTCGAATTTCCTTGCACTATTTTTGTATAATCTCTGCCAAAAGTTACCATACCAAAATGAAAATGCATTCAAACAACATGAATTTTGACTCTTTCACATTTTCACAATATAATAGTTTTAGAGATCTCAGCAGCAACGACGTGGCAATAGTAATTACGGTTGCATTTGCCTGATACAATGCAATCACGGCCGTAACCGCAATTCGGAACAATGTTATCTTACAATATACAACCATTGTGCTTACCTGTAGTTGCAGTTTTAACGAAGAAACCATGGATTTGACATACTGTTGTTGCGTGTTATTCGTTTGAAGATCAATTGAATTAAAGTAATCAAAGATATCATTGTTTCCGATCACAACAAGGAAGATGGATTCTGAGATGTGTTTTTGAAGTTTAGATGCTCCTATTTGATGTGCCAATTGTTCATACATTTGTGAATAGTACTCAACTTGCTTTGTCATATCTATTGATTTCCACTACAAAAAAAGTTGGACCTATAATGTTTACTATTCAAAATACAAAAATAAAGTTGGAGAAAGAAAAAAAAGAGTTAGAACTTTGTAAAACTTTACTCACAAAGCTTTGATCTGTGCCATTAAAAAGTCCAGCACCTCCAGAGGCAAAGTTAACACCATTCAAGAATGATACATTGCTTTTGCTGTTTTTGACCATAGAAGATACTAAAGAGAGGTAAGGTGGTGAAGTGGACAATCCTAGTTTCTCAGCTGCCACGTCACAGCCAATCATTTGATGCAAATATTAGCAAAACATCAATAAGTCAATAATATTAAGATTATTAAGCCCGAGTTCAACGTTTTTAGTGAAGTCTTGAGATTTGAGAGTGTGCTCTTCTCAAAGTCTCAGGTTCGAATTCTGTTAAATGAAATCAATTTTTATGTTGGGTCAGTTCATACAGAGTTATGCTCTGACTTTAAATAGGACTTTTGTGAGTGGACGGTGGGAGTGATCCTAGGATTAGTCGGTTTATAGCCCGATACTAAGTTTTGGAAGAATCAACATAATGAATTTAGAGTAGCTTACCAATCAAATCAGCAGCATTCCTGCCATTACTAAATCTCCCAGCAGGTTTGTTAGTTGGAAAATCAATACCATAGTAAGGAAAGATAGCTTTTGCTAAGGTACCATTCAAGTAATTGTTGTTTCCAACATCAACAAGTGAGTCTCCAAACACATAAACAGCAGGAACCTTTTCAGCTTCTAAGAATCCTAAATTGAATATGAAGAAAGAGATAAAGAGATTTTTCATCATATCTAAGTAGTCCATTTTGGAAATTGTGTACTAGGATATGATTTGGTTTTTTGTCTTTATAGATTGTGGAATTGTGGTTGAGAAGTGTTGGTTAGAGATTTAATAAATATGAATTGATGTTAAAAATAGGTGGGGATTTTTTTTATTGCTAGACTAAGTAGCTAGAGGTAGTGGAGCAAAGGGTACTCTCTAGATAACAACATCAATCCACTATCATTTATTGTGTTTTACTATAAAAATAGATCCTATACACGGATATCCAACAACACGACACTGATATATAAACGTTTATACATTTTGACAGCTGCAGTAATACACAAATATTGAATACGGCACACTAACATATAAACTAACATATAACGTCTATACTTTGACGGTTAGACAAATATCGAATACGACACTCACATATATCTGTATGTAATAATTAAGAGAAAAAAAATTGAATGTAATAACATATATCAGAATAGTATTTTACGGTGAAGTGAGTTGGACAATTAAACGCATCAAAGGTAAATTTAAGTAAACAACAAGAAGTATCTTATACTTTTTTTGGTCTACTTTAATGAAGACGGCGACAACGTTAGAAAGAAACATGAACACATAAAAGCATTGGGATAGTTATGTGGCATAACCTGCTTTTCATATGGGGTGTAGGTGTAAACTTTGAGAGCCAACTAATCAATAGTGATATATGTCAAGCCACTTGCGGAGTGCATTTAAGTGGGAAAATATCTTACATCATGATTTTGTCCTTTCTTTTGCAACGTGTCTATCATTTATTCACATACAAAATAGATGTATTTTTGTATGTTGGACAGGTGGGAAATTTGAATTGACTTAATTTTTATGGTTGCATTGAGTGGAGTAGAAGAAAAATTAACCTGATTTTATGTTGAGAAGATAGTTTAAAATGGGTTGTTCCAAAATATAAAAGCCTACCAATTATCCAAAATTTGCTCAATTCAAGAACCAATGAAAGAGAGAAAAAAAATTAAGTAGAAATCTAATGCAAGGTTGTGTTGTGTATTAATTTTGCCATCTTTATACCGTTCTGTCACAGCTATGACTTTAAAGAGATTTGTCCCCAATCATACTCAGATAATTAATCAAACTCAATAATCAATGGTACCCATAAGAGAATAGATATTTCAAACAACTTGTCTCCTTAGCATGTATTAGTAAACTCTTAACTCAAGAACACTTGTATGAGAGAAGAGCTTTGTCGCGCATTGTAGTCCTCTCCGGCTCGAGATTAGTCTTTGTAGTTGCGCGCAAAGAATATCCGATTTTTACCGGAAAAAAACAACCATTATGCAAAACAGAGGGATTGGCAAGCAATTAATCCGCTGCAGGCAATTCTAATTCCAACTTGTCCGTAAGAAATTTCTTAAAGCTATCTTCATTGTTTCCTCGATAGGGTAAAATCTTCAATGTAGAACACAGAGCAAAAGTTTTAAATGGATAAAGTTGCTTAAGAATTTCAGGGTCCCTATCATAATCCTGCCAAAAAGGAAAGTTTAATAAGTAAGGATAAAAACATGTATATGGAATTCATATACATGCACAACAGCACAAACTATGTCTAGTTACCTTCTCAGTTATTACAACAATTGGTTTGAAACCAAACTTCCTCTCTAGTTCTCCAAGTTTGGCTCTGATCATACCAATATCCTGGATTAATTGAATATATAACTTTTTAGTCAATGTAATCAGTCAACAAATTATTTGGTTCAGGAAAGATAAATGTACCCTGGCATGGAATATGTGATGATCGCTGAAATCTATTCGATCAACATACAGTGCTCCCATCTGCACTTTAGAAATAATAAATAGAAAGAAAATAAGAGGAAAAGAAAGGGAAAATTCACTTAAAACATATACTACATTAATTTTACTTATATAAAAATCCTTTCATGTCAAAGAATTTCATGATTTTAAACAAAATGGTAAATAGTCTTCAACATGTTAAAATGAAGAAGAAAAAAAACAATTAATATGTTTGTATTTAGACTATTCACCAATGATATCGTTTGATTCATGTAGTCGATCCCACTTAATAGAATAAGACTATGTTGTTTTTGTTGTTAGACGATTTACCAATGATTATAAGAATATATATTCTATTTAGTTGATGGAATATGATTGAAGAGGAATACCTCTTGAACCCGCTTCACAAAAGATTCTGGAGAACCAATAGCGGAAACACATAAAATAGTAGCTTCATTTAGAGCTGTCAACAATATTTTAGCATTGATGTTTCCCACCTCAAATAAGTAAGTTGGATCCATTTTTGTGAAGAAAATAGGAACAGACTTTTTAATTCCTTGAACCATAGACTTAATATCCTCGAGAACACGATCAGAAACCTATGAATTTCCAAAAGCACAATTCTCAGTACGATGTTATGCTCGTAGATTTGCTAAATACTAACTGATGAAGAAAAACTTGGCGCAAAAAAAAAAGTGCAAATTAGCTTCTTTGAAAAGGAACTATTAATATCATTTAATCATTTTCTGCTATAAAAAAAATCATTTTATCCATACCAAATCTGCATGATGGATTACAACTACATCTGCTCGTCTGAGTGCAGTCAAAGGCTCTCTTAAAGGTCCAAGTGGCAGTAGTCGGCCGTTACCCCAAAGAGTTAATCCATTGACCATCACAATATCCAAATCTCGCCATAAGCTCCAATGCTACCTTGCATACGAATCATTTGATTTAGAGCAAATTCCATGTCGACAAAGATTTAAAAAAAGAAAACCCTAAATTTCACGCATTTAAGTCACTAGTAGAAGCAAAACAGTGGCTCTAGCAGAATGATACTAAACATAACAAATGGACCAAATCAAAATTGGGGCACAAAATGTTTTCAAGCCTGTAATTAAGAAGCAAATTGTGAAATAATAGATTAATACAAGGGAAAACAAACAAGGGTAGTGTGGGGGAGACTTGTGTTACTTTACCTGCATTGCATCATCAAGAACTACAGTCCCAATCTTTTCTGAATCAAGAGAATTATGGGCCTTCTGGTTAAGGTTTTGTTTCTCATGCAAAGAACTCTTGCGAATATCAGTGTAGCCATATTTTTGGATCAAATGACTAGCAACAGTAGCTCGATTTGCGCCAACACCAAACTTAGTTGATGTTCCAAGTAAATGTCTCTGAAGCATGTTAACTTCATCACCACCACCATAACCCTGTAAAAGGAAGATAGAAATGAATCAAGCTACGGAACTTACTAAGTAAGACCCTGTTTGGTTAAATAGTTTAATTAAGCACCTATAGCATAAGTGTTCATCATATAGATGCTTAAGCATAAGCTATTCTATAACAAAAGATAAAATAAAGTCAAATTGTTTTATAGGCTATCCTATAGAACTTATGAAATAAGATGTTTCTATAAGTTCTCCCTAAAAGTATCATAAATGTTTATGCTTATAGAAAACCTTAAATAAGTTAATCCTGACATGCACTACAGCTATAAATGAACAGAAGTTGAGTACTTCACTTAGAATTTGAGATGGAGAATGCAATATCTTCAATAATATGGGAACTGCATAATCAGGAAAATGAGCCATAACCAAGAATTATTGATAGCTTAACATCCACTTGTTAGCCAATCATCATACTAAAGTAATCATTTACACACTTGTAATAACAACTGTTAACAAATTGATATTGCTCCGCAATTAGCTATTGAGTACAAATATTGTCAAATATCAGCTATGCGCACAAAACCCTAAACCCTAAATTATTGAGTACAAATATTGTCAAATATTGACTATAGTGTGCGCTACATCCTACAACACTTTTGAGTAGCAAAAATTGACCAAATGACTATTTTTCGCAAACCGCAATTGACAGCACTGATCCAAGTCAATGAACTATTTGTCACTTTGCAAATCACTTCAACCTTTTTATTTCCCTTGCATAATAGCAATTTCGTTAAACCCTAATTGAGTTCTAGGCTATTGAGTATTGAATTTTCACGCTTCTCTCCTAAAATCCAAATTTCCTTCTCAAGAGAACAAATATGCATCTAATCGTTGAATCTATTACAAAAACAACAACAACCAAGCTTTATCCTACTAAGTGCGGTTGGCTACATGGATCAACTTTGGTCATAAACTCATAATGCTCTATACAGGACCATGTTTCTATCTAAATTGTTAATCGCAAGATCTTTTTTAATAACTTCTTTTATAATCTTTTTAGGTCTTCCTTTTCCTCCAGTTATTTGACTTCTCTCTATCAGATCTACCCTCTTTACCACATAATTTACCGGTCTTCTCTTAACTTGTCTGAACCAGGTAAGTCTATTTTACACTAACTTCTTTATCCAAAACACTCTAATATTTTCATTTCTAATCATATCCTGTCTAGTCAAGTGTACTCGTATATGCTACACTTACTTTATCTGTTGTTGAATCATTGAATCTATAGAATTAAACAATTCACAGGTACATTTTCCATTCCATTTTATATTTCAAAACCTCATACTTAACCAGCACGGATAATAAAATTTTAGCAGAATAACAGCTATTAGCAAAATCAGAAAAAAAAAGCAACAGAATGTAAAGAAAAAAAGAGAATACCCTAGACAGAACAAGCGGTGAAATTCCGGAACGAGCAAAGAAGGCAGCGATGAACTCAACCATTGGCGTCTTGCCATTACCTCCCCATGTTAAATTTCCGACGCTGATAACAGGAACTGGTAGACGATGAATTCGAGAAAGAAAGAAGCGGCGGCGAATTGAGAGAGCGAATTTGTAGAAAGACGATGAAATGGAAAGGAAAGGGAGAAGAGAGAAATGAAGAGGAGATAGTTTACTGAGGTTCTTTGTATATGCTATCTCGTTTACCGCTTTTCTTAATTTCTCCATTGATTCAACTTTCAACCCATTCTTTTCCCATTCCAACAATCAAACTTATTAAGGACTAATTTGTAAATTTTCAAATATTTTGAGATCAATTTTAAAGTTTTATAAAGTAAGAGGATTAATTTGCAAATTTTGAAATATTAACCAATATCGACATGACATTATGGTCAAACATGAAAAACTGTGCTCCTTCTAAGTCGGTTAAGAAAAACCATAAAATGAATTGAATCGTCGAACCGAATTGAAGTTAAAATAATCAAACTGTTATGTTTGGTTAGAGAACAAAACCATATTATGCACACAATTTTAGAACCGAATCGAAACTGAAACTGAATCAAATTGAAACTATATTCGAATCAAAATTGAAAAAATAAAAAATACCAAAAAAATTTTTTTAATATAGTATAATTGTTTATTTCTTTAATAAATAGTTTGGTTTGAAAAAACTTAACTTCTAATAGTTTGGTACGATTCGGAATTTTGAAACGGTGTACCAAATCAAAGATTATGGTTAGATTCAGTTTTGAATAAATTGAAATTGTTTGATTAAGTTCGAGTACATCTTTTTTATGGTTTGGTTTGTTTCAATTCAGTTTTTTCACTAACTATACTACAAACAACCTTAATTCCTATTATCAACCATTTTTATACTTTTTTTTATATTTTTGATTTTTTAACATTAGAAGTAGTTGATCTTTTATAAAGAGTGCAAATACTCATGTATAAAGTGTACAAATGCTCATGTATAATAATGTTGTATCTTTTAAAATAATAAATGCAATTTTTAAATTTTTAAAATGATTGATTTTTTACAATCTAAAAAAAATAGTGATATAATTTATTATCGTTTGTCTTGCTATTTCTGAATATTGATTATATTATAATTAAATATGTATAGGTAATTTAACTTGTACAAAAGATTTTATAAATTTGTACTTTTTTTTATTCAAATAGTAGATTTTAGGGTTAAATATATTACATGTTTCTATAAATATTTCAAAATTTACCTTTAGTCTCTAGAACATTTTGGTTCAAGGATTTGTCCTCATAAATTTTTCGTCTCTATTTTTCGTCTCTGACGTTTATTCCACTTAATGAAAGCCTCTGTGGACGATTATTTGGCAACTTTTTAAGTAATTGGACAACTACTAATTTCCTAATTGTGTATATAGATTACAAGTCAGCAAATAAGTTCAAATTGATTGTAAGCTAATTCCTCCTCGTCCTCTTTTTTCGTTTTCGTCCTTTTTATTTCGTTTTCATCTTCTTTCTTCCCCTTTGTACTTTTTGAAGTCTTTCTTCTCTTCGTTTGTGACCTAATTGCAGTCAAAGCTTCCTCATCAAAGAAAGGTTAATGTCGTATTCCAGAGCAAGTGCTATGGAACCCATGAGTATGTTTTCGTCCTCTGTGAGATAATTGTTTGTACGAAAATCACACAGATATTAAGCAAATGTAAAAGTGTAAGGTAAAAGGCACATGGATTTGTTGAGGCAGTTCCCCCGCCGTCCTCGCTTCGGGGTACGTCTACCCTCAATTCTAACAATAGAATTGAGCTCTTATAATATAAATTTAACCTATTGTAGAATCGTATATACAAGAATAGAATAGCAATCAAACAAACAAACACCCTTGTTGTTGTAGATGCTAACTCTTCTTGTCCATTGATTCAAGTTGAATCAAGTCCTTCGATAGCTTGTGAATGAACCTCCGATTACAACTCTATGTTTGAACAACCTTCCGTCTTCAAAGCCCAGCCCGACTGATCTCAAACACTTGCTAATCAAACCTGAACCTCTCCTTCACAATTCACTGATTACCGCTACTAGATCGACGGAATCCACCGCTCCTCGATCACCTTTTCTCAGTCGAATATGTGTTGAGAAGACTCGTCCAAAAACCCCCAAATTTAGAGAAGTTTGGAGGACAAAACCCTAGAGGTTTTATTCAAGAAAAACCTGCCAATTCCTCAACCTGAACCTGATTACCCAATCAACGGCTTCAGGCGTTATCACTTCTAACAATGCATAATTGTCGCGGTGAAATTTGGATACCAAACTATTGATTAGTTTGAATCTTTATTCATTTGCAACCGTCTTTGATTTATCCGAAGGAAAGGTTAAAGGAAGGAAAATCTATTTTGCATCGTAAACACAATGCGGGAGAGATCTAAGGTTCGGGGGTCGGTTAAACTTAGGGAAGGTATTAGCATCCTAAGTTTCTGTAGTACTCTACAGGAACCTCTTGTTTTATGTTGTTTATTGTCAAGTTATTTGCTTAAGGATAATATTAAGGGTTAAAGGTAAAGAGAAAGACCTAAGGGGGTTAGTCCTAAGTATACTCGCCAAGACGTCGCATCTTGTGCCTACATATCCTGACGGGAATGGAATCAGAGTATCTGTAGTTCCCCTCACATGGGAGGTTAAAAACATCTTGACTGTGGTCAAGGTTTCAAGGGGAATAAACGCACCTTAATGACACGCTTATGCGGAGCGCGGGAACTCCAAACTTCTACGTTGAATTGTTAAGTTGAAATTAGGGTTAGGTTAGGGATTCCACGGCGGGAAACCCTAAAATGAGTGCGGTGGCTCTTTGACCTAAAGCTAGGGGTAAAATTTTAATTTTGTCTGCGGCAAGGCATTTGTGAAAATTAGGGTTTGTAAGGGTTTGAAGTTTTGAGGACTATTGGCGCGGCGGCCAAACAGTTAGACCTAACCTTCGGAGGTGTAAGGTGACAGATTGATGGTGATGAAAATGTGAGAAATTTAAATCATACAGACAGCGGAAATTAAAGTACGGAAAGATAAACGCGATTATTTGTTCGCGAAATTACATCCCATAAGCAGTTACAACTATAATAAAATATTAATCAATGATAAACGGATTTAAAAGTGATCAACTGGAAAAAAAACACAAACAGAGAATGTTAGTACGATTAGGCAGAAATACAATGGATAATGAAGCAGTGAAGAAAAAGATGTAAATTTAGAGTTTTTATTGTTTTGAAAAAAGTTCTGAATTTAATTTATAAAAAAAAAAAGAGAAAAATAATATTAGTTTTAAAAAGGATTAACTTTTAATCTTGAAAATTGTTTTAATTTTAATCTTAAAAAAAAAGTTTTGAATTTTTATTTAAAAAGGTTTTAAGTTATTTATTTAAAAAAAGAGTTTTAGTTTTATTATTTTAAAAAAGTTTTAATTTTATATAAAAAAAGTTTGTTTATTCACAAGAATTTAATTTTTATTTATTTTAAAAAACAGAAATTAGTTTTAAAACAAAAGTTTATTATTTAAAAACACAGAAAAATAAATAAAAAATAAAACAACTTAAAAAGTGGGTTGGGTCGGTCATCACTTCCGGACCCAACCCGGCTCATCAAGCAGATGGCCAAAGAAAAAGGCAATTGGTTTTTTTTTAGGGTTTGAAACCCTGTTATCACACTCGCGGCGCCGTTTCTCTCGTATTCCCTTCTATTTCTTCGTCTTTCATGGCGTTCTTATCGTCTTTCTCTCGCGGCCATTGACCCATCCTGAAACAAACACAGATGATGTTAAATGTTTACAACACTGACTATTACTCACGTTTTTTTTAGGGTTTCGCTGAAAAAAGGGCCGATGATGTCGGAGCTGAGGCTCGAAGAAGGTTGATTGCCCGTCTCCTGTGAGGATGACGATGGCGGTCTTCGATTCAGTTCGTTTGTGGTGATGAGTACGATCGATGGTTCGGCTTTGATGATTCACGGTTTATATCGGGTGATTCTTTGAACGATGATGACGATTATGCTTTCGTCTGAGTTCGCGGCCATCTTTCGGTTCGTTAGGCTTTTGTGTTTGTTTGGCTTTTTGTGTTCGTTTGCGGCCGTTCTCGCTAGGGTTTTGAACAGGTTGTGTCTCCCCTTTTTTATACTTTCTCTTGATCTTCGAATGGGCTTGGATAATATCTTTTTTTACGTTATTTTTACTGATATTAATTTCTGATTGGGATTTGATTTGGAAACATTCCTCTTTCGGATGTGGTTCGCCCAATATTCATTTTTCTGATATGCATCACTTTGAGATCTTTTTTGGATTTGCTTTGGAAACATTCTCGTGTTCGGTTGTGATTTGCATTATTACTGATTTGATTTTGTTATCTTTTCTGATAGGGTTTGGATATCTGTTTCGAACTAATTTGGTTTGATCTTTCCTTTTCTAGATTCGGATTTGCTATCTGAATTGATGGACTGATTTAGTTATCTGGATTTCAGGTGTTGGATTTAGCTTGAACTATTGCTGATATTGGTTTGGTTTGGCATCAGTCCCTGACTTTTTTCTGCTACTGCTTGGTTGCCCATTTGTGAAGTCTGAACTCGGTTTTGATTTGGTTGTCCCATGAATATCAGTTTGGATGGACATTTGCTTATGCCTTCTGAATTCACTGTCTGTATTATCTTTTCCTCTTCTTCTTTCAGAACGGATGCTTTGAATTGATCCATGCCGCCGGGAAGGTTACGCGGTGATGATGACCTTAGGGTCTGAACCATTTGGCTTTGATTGATGCTTTAGTGATAATGACCTTCGGGTCTGAGCGACAAATGTCGTATGCTGCGTAATTCGACGCTCGGTAGGGAGTTGGTAACGGCTTCGGCCGTGGCTCTCCCAGCCGCTCGAATTCTCATGCCCTATGATGAGTAACTGAGGGCTGAATTTCTTTCAATTCCATTCATTTTGTTATTTACTTTGGCTCGCGTCCGAAATTGCGTTCTAACTGCTGGCCGAAATTGCATTCTAATTGCTGGCTGAAATTGCATTCTAATTGTTGGCTGCTCTTTTATTTTGATAGGTAGGAATGCGGTTGAGATACCAAGTATTCAGGATGATCTTTTCTGTTGTATTGCAGGGAACCAACTTGTAGTCGGTGGCTGAAAGTCGTGGAAAGCTGGTGAAGTGCTTTAAGGCGTGAAGGTTCGTAGCGATGAGATGGTCCGATTACAATCAACGTTGGCTGAAGCTTCGGCCATTGCGA